CCCCCCCGGAGCAACGCCCCCCCGCCCCCCCGTCCCAGGTCTGCCTAAAAGCCCCGGCCTCCTGCCCTGTTCAGAGCAGCGAGGCTCCTAGCCGGAGTCCGGTGGCCGGGGCTGCGCACCGAGCCACATTGGCCCCCAGCAAACTATCGGCCCGTTGAGCCATGGGTTCTAACCCCCGTCCCTGTGCTTGGGTGCAGCTCGTAACCCTGCGAGGGTCCATCCTGGAGGACGCGATTCCCAGCACCGCCAAGCACGGGACGCTGCGAGGCCTGCCCCTGAAGGACGTGCTGTCTAACCCCCGTCCCTGTGCTTGGGTGCAGCTCGTAACCCTGCGAGGGTCCATCCTGGAGGACGCGATTCCCAGCACCGCCAAGCACGGGACGCTGCGAGGCCTGCCCCTGAAGGACGTGCTGGAGCACGCAGCCTTTGGCAGCCAGGCTGCAAAGGGAGAAAGCTGGTCTGGGGGCTCCGTTGCCTTTCAGATGGGACGCGTGCTCCTAAATCACCTCGGCCCCTTTTGCCCGCTGGGTGCTGAGCTCGGCCAGGTCGGCGGGAGGGCGGGCAGGCTCTCACGGCGGTTCCCGCCCCCCAGCTCTGCCGGAAGCACAAGGTGGGGATCCTGTACTGCAAGGCAGGCCAGAGCTCCGAGGAGGAGATGTACAACAACGAGGAGGCGGGGCCGGCGTTCGAAGAGTTCCTCGCCCTCCTTGGGGAGAAGGTCTGCCTGAAAGCCTTCGGCAAGTACGCTGCCCAGCTGGACACCAAGAGTGAGTGCGGGGCGCAGGCCGCGGTGGGTGGACCCAGCGTTCTGCGCAGCCGGGGCAAGGGGCCCGCAGGGCGCTTGGGCCGGCTCCCCCCTCACGGAGGCTCTTCTCTTGCCCCGCTCCGCAGCCGACTCCACCGGCACCCACTCTCTGTACACCACGTATCAGGACTACGAGATCATGTTCCACGTCTCCACCATGCTCCCCTACACGCTCAACAACAGGCAGCAGGTAAGCGCTGCGGGGTAACCGGTCCATCGCGCTGCCCTGTTCTGCTAACGGGGCCCGTGCATGTCCCAGGTTCGGGTCGCAGGCGGCCTGCGCCGGGATCCCGGAGAGGAGGGAGGGAGGAGACGCGGCCCTGCTGTTCAAACAGCCTGGGAGGGAGGGCGGTGCTGTTGTCCCCGCTGGACTGGCGGGAACGGAGGCACAGCCGGACGGAGTGACTTGCCCAAGGAGGTGGGGGAGTCTGTGGCAGAGAACCTGGCTCTGTGCCTGCTGGCAAATAGCAGAGCCAGGTGTGGCAGCACGTCAGGGACCCCCCGATCCTGCACCCCGTCTGCAGCAAGATGAGACCCCGCCAGCCAGTAGAACAGAGGGGTTTTCCAGGACACAGCCCGGCCCAGCTGTGATGTGGACACACGGAGTCGGGCTGGCAGCCCGGGTGGGGTCCACTCGGCTTAGTCTGCGCTCTCTCTGGTTTTCCAGCTCCCAGGCCCTGACCCCAGCCAGGTGTCGGTCTCTGCCCCCCTTCCTTTGTCTCCTTCTCTGGGAAGAGCCTTGTTCTCTGCCCAGGTTGGGACGAGGTGTCTGGGCCAATCCACATGTGGGCAGGGCCGCATTATGGCTTTGGTGGGCCCTAGGCACTTTTGCCTCCGTAAAAAAAAAAAGATTATTTTTGATATAACTTTAAATACGTCAACATTTTATTTTTTTTCTCTTTTAGGCAAAAGTTAATAGATTTTCATGGGCCCTAAAAATGTGGGTTTTTTCTGATGTGAGAAAAAAATTAAAACGCTTTCTTCGACCCTAAAAGTTCATTTTTTTTCTTCTGATTTTAAAAGAAATTCAAACGTTTTCCTGGGCCCCTAAAAGCATCGTGGGCCCTAGGCCCTGTGCCTACTGTGCCTCATGGATGAGTCAGCCCTGCATGTGGGGGAGTCTGTGGGAGTCACACCTCACAGCGTGGGGAACCCGGGTTACAGCGCGGGGAACCCCCCACGTCACACCTGGGCTGGGGGGACAGTCTGGGGCTGGACTTAGAGCCAGGCGCCCCATGGCCCTGGCCAGTGAGTCTCCATGCCCCGCTCCTGTCTGCAAAGGACCTGCACCCTGGGCACTCGGGGCTGGAATCCAGCCGGGCTCCCCACTGGAGCTCCCCCAAGCCAGCCACGGTTACGGCACTGGCCCTGCAGAGTCCTGGCCCCCTCGCTCGCAGGAACGTTCCCGGGGGGCTGCTGGTTCCGGAGAGGAAGGGGCAGCCTGCTCTCCATACTGCTACCATGCCCCTCCGGCCCTCCGGCACTCACCCCTCTCGTCTTACCTCGGTAGCTCCTACGCAAGCGGCACATAGGGAACGACATCGTCACAATCATCTTCCAAGAGCCGGGAGCCCTGCCTTTCACGCCCCAGAACATCCGCTCCCACTTCCAGCACGTCTTCATCGTCGTCCGCGCCCACAGCCCCTGCACTGACAACGTTTGCTATAGGTACGCCGAGCCTCTCCCGCTGCCAGCTGGGTTCTGAGCCCGCACGCCGGGGCGGAAGGAGGCCGGTTCCCCCGGGGAGACCCCTGGGGCCTCTGCCCGTGTTTGCGGGGCTGACTCTGGGGTACAAGGGATGAATCCTACAGGCAGTCGGGGTCAGTGGCTGTTCTGCGCTGGCTCGTGGCACAGGCAGAGGGCGGGGAAGCTGGGCAGTCCGAGCGGGTTTTCAAGCAGGCCGGGCCAAGCGAGTCGGTGCCAGACTTGGAGGCTCCTTGTGGCTGGTGCCAGCCTCCCATGCTCCGCGCGGCACCTTCCTCGGGGGCACCGAACTCCCGAGCCGATGGTGAAGCCCAAGGCCGTCAGGGAAGAGCCGTGCCCTGCAGCGGCTGTGCTGGAAGCTCGTCTGAGCAGTCTCCCCCTGCCCTTCGTTTCCAGTGTGGCTGTGAGCAGATCCAAAGACGCGCCGCCGTTCGGGCCCCCCATCCCCAGCGGCGTCACCTTCCGCAAGTCGGACGTCTTCCGAGACTTCTTGCTGGCCAAGGTGATCAACGCGGAGAACGCCGCCCACAAGTCGGACAAGTTCCACACCATGGCGACGCGCACCCGGCAGGAGTACCTGAAGGACCTGGCGGAGAACTGCAGCACCAGCACGCCCATCGACTCCACGGGGAAGTTCAACCTCATCTCCCTGGCCTCCAAGAGGAAGGAGAAGGGGAAGGCGCGGCCGGGGGCGGAGCAGCACAGCACCGGCGCCATCGCCTGGCGCGTGGCCGCCCAGGACTTCGCGCAGGGGGCCGAGGTGGAGTGCGTCTTGGGCATCTCCAACGAGTTCCTCGTCCTCTTGGACCTCCGCACCAAGGAGGTGGTGTTCAACTGCTTCTGCGGGGACGTGATCGGCTGGACGCCCGAGGCCCTCGCCCTCAAGGTCTTCTACGGGCGAGGGGACCACGTCTTCATCCGGGCCGTGGACGGCAGCCCCGAAGCCATCCAGGAGATTGTGCAGCGACTCAAGGTAGGAGCAGAGCTGGTGAGGGTGGGGCTCTCCTGGCCTGGGGCCCCAGGGCGCGGGGTGCTGCGCAGATAGTCCCTGCCCGAACAGCCCCCCGGCCCACTGACGAGACAGACGCTCCAAGGAGCCACCAGGCCACTGTCAGACGGGAAGAGAACCCGGGAGTCCGGGCTCCTCCGCTCTCACCACCGCTCCCCCCTCCAAGCCGGGGGATGGACCTGAGGACTCTCGGCACCCAGTCCCCCTGCTCCAACCCCCAGAGCCTGGGAAAGAACCCAGGAGTCCCCCTGCTCCAACCCCCAGAGCCCAGGGGATGGACCCCAGGTGCCCTGGCTGCTGCCCCAGTGGTACAGGCAGGGGGGTACCCGCTGCAGGTCTCACATGGGACCAGGTGACTCCAGGGTTCCGAGGGACCGTCTGCGGCTCATGGCGTTGCCATTCGTATTCGTGCGCCTGGGCGGTGAGTGGGGCGGAGCCAGTCAGTCACACCAGGGCCAGGCCATCTGCCCAGGGCTTCTGCTCCATGGGGCCGCCTCCCTTCTCCCACATGGGGGCGCCGGGGGGCCCAGCAGGCTCCTGGCAGCAGAAGGGAAATGCCAAGCGCAGCCGAGGGACGCTGGCAGCAGGCGCTGTGCTTGGAGGCTGCCCACGGTGAACCAGCTGCTCTCCGCGGAGCTGCCTGGCTCCCAGGGGCTCTTGCTGTTCGCTTTCTCGAGCCTGGTTGGCTGAGAGGAAGGGCGTGTGCAGGGAGCAGAGCCGGCCGAGACCGGCAGGCTGCTGCGTCCGTCCTGTGAGCGGCGTCCGGGGGCGGGGCCCAGCAGGGGGACACCGGCACCAGGGGCGGGCCGAGGCCCCGGGCCAGCTCAGGCA